CCAACTGATCGGCAACGACTCCTTCAGGATTATTCAATTCTGTAAGACTATTTCCTTGTCCTTCACCACCAGCTACAATAATCCCTTGTTTTGCACCTACTTCCCATTTCATTACACGATGATTTCCCCAATCAGACACGTACACTGAATGATTTCGATCGACAAATACATATTCGGGGTTAGAGAGTTGATCGAGACGGTTTCCTTCTCCGTTTCCGCCTGCAACCACTGTACCTTCAGTATCACCAATTCTATATCGTCTCACTTCATGTTTTTTCCAGTCAGCAATATAGAGAGATTCGTTCTCGTCCATTGTCAAACCCGTACAATAGATGTTCGCAATGATTGTCTCTCCATTAGTGCCATTTCGACGAGGCCATCGAACAACTCTATTATTTCCGAAATCGCAGATGATGAGACTATCTCTCTCTTTGTCGATAATCATCACATCGTTTGGACCATTTAATTGATTAGCTCCGTTTCCTTGTCTATTTCCACCAGTAACCACTTGGCCACTCATTGAACCATATTTCCATTCCACAATACGGTGATTATTGTGATCAGCGATATAAATCGTTTGATCTTTGTCGATATATAAACCATTCGGTGCATGGAGCTGATTGATTCCATTGCCATATCCATTTCCTCCAGCTACAGTGATACCATTTTGTTTCCATTTTGCATCTGAATGAATTTCAACAGCAGGTGATCGTAATGGCAGTGCTGAAATGAAACAACACTATGAAGCCGTGGTGTCAAACTTGAAAGTTGAATTCAAGTAGTCAACTATTCAAATATTCAAGTTCTCAATTAGTCAACACCTGGGGTACCATCAGAATTGCCAAACATCGAAAGCTATTGTCTGTAATACTATTAGCATCATCTGGCATGCTATAGGAATTATCTAGAATGCTGTCAGAATTGCCTAGGATGCTAAAGATTTCGTTTGAGATGCTTCAGACATTATCTGGAACGCTACAAAAAGTATGTGAGAAGCTTGAATGACCATGCACACTGAGTGTGAATAATGGTGTACATAGAGACGTGTATGGGGATATCGGCTCTTCGTGGACGTTTTGCTCCCCCCCCCACGCCGCGACGCTGATATAAAAGGTGTATTAAGTGGAAAAAAAGTGCTGCACCAATGACTACTCGCAGAACACTTGACTAGTGAAAATTTGAATAGTTGAAAACTTGAATACTTGAATTCAAGTTTCAAGTATTACATATATACGAGAATTATAATATTTCTCGCAAAGCCATCTGTTAATCGAAACTATATGGGAGTTTAGTCAGGATTCTCAACAGATGTGTTCATGTTTGTTAAATTTGCTGTATTGAATATAAAAACTTACGTGTTGTGCATCTTGAGTCAGTCCAGGTCGAAGGACAGGCACAAACATCAGGACTAGAACACGTTCCACCATTCGAACAAACTGGATTACAAACAGCTATTATGTAAAGAGATATATCAAGGTAAATATTGTTCATTGGAAGCAGAATGCTCTGTTCCATTCACATGTAGTTTGATACTTACGTGTTGTACAGGTTGCACCAGTCCAACTAGCTGTACAAGCACATGTATTTGGAGCTGAACAGGTACCATTATTTTGACATGGAGATGTACAAACGGCTACAAATCAGATAAAATTTAGATTCAGTTAATGCTACATATGACCTGAATCAGCGAAAACGGCACATTCACCCGTTGTATTTGAATGCACTTCTCTATCAGTATAGGTTTTTTTAGTGAATTGTTTTTGCATAGGCTTATGTAAAATTGCCTACTCTTTCACATGGGTATTAATTAATTGATAATTAACTAATTAAGAAGTGATTATCGAATATCTCGATAATCGAACGACGAAAAAACTTGAAAACTTCAGGATAGGCTCTAGGATATGTGCTGCATATATGGTAAAATTTTCAGCGAGTTCGGAATTCAAAAAATTCCTTCCAAAAAATAGACCTTTCAGAGCCTTTAGACAGATGAAATGAAAACGTTTGTCTTAGTATTATTCTAGGGACTCATGTCATTGACATGAGCTCTTTGGAATCGGTTTCGAACTTTTTAGTTTGTTACCAGATCATTTGATCGCTAGTGAAGTCGTACTCAGTCAAGTCACTAACGCCGAATAAATTTTATTTTTGTGAAAAACCTAGATGTGGTCAAAATAATTTTACATCGGGATGTGGTAGCTGCAGGAGTCTTGTCTAGTATCGCTTATTAAATTTTCGTGATTGGGCAACACTTGAAATATTCTAAAAACCCACAGTATATCAAGTGACAGTTGATTGTCCTTTTTGGTGTCACGTCGCTAATACTAGTTTTTCGTTGATTCCTCTTCTGAACACAGCTCTAGAGCGTTGATTTTTCCATGGCATCTAGAGTTACTAGACACTCGTACTACATGCAAAAATCAAGCCTAAACCAGCTGATAATTCTGAGATATGCATATTCCAAGTTTGTGATATCACGTCACTAACGCATGATTTAGCCCGTATATTCAGCAAGAGAAAATATTTAATTAAACTAAGGAACCATTTTCTACGAAACGTTTCTCATAAGATACAATATCATTAAGAGACCAACAGATCATATTCAACAAGAAGTCGAAGAAATTTGATATTCATATTGAAGATAAAACCTTACGTGTTGTGCATCTTGAGTCAGTCCAGTTCGAAAGACAGATACAAAGATCAGGCCTAAAACATATTCCATCATTTGAACAAACTGGATTACAAACAGCTATAATGTAAAGAGAGATACCAAGATAAATTTCGTTAATTGGAAGCAGAATGTTCTGTTCCATTTACATGTGATTGATACTTACGTGTTGTACAGGTTGCACCAGTCCAACTATCTGTACAGGTACATGTATTTGGAGCTGAACAGATACCATTATTTTGACATGGACATGCACAAACGGCTACAAATCAGATAAAATTAAGATTCAGTTTATGCTACGTGTATTCATCAAGAGAAAATGTTTAATTAAACCAAGGAACTATTTAATAGCTGATAGAAGATTTTTTCACAAGACTGAAATTCATGTTTCTCTTGTTTTTATTGATGCTTTGTTTCTGGATTTTTTATAGAATATATACACGCTATGAGTCTATAAAATTATATAATCAAAGTATCGAAAATAGCTTTCCATCTGTCCATTCTCCTACATTTATTTCTAGGTCCTTTTTCGCGTTTGAACGACATTAATGTTCATTATTATTTCGATTTTTGATATATTTATCTTTTCAATTATAACCCTATATTTGTCACTCATTGATTATCATGCATATTATCAAGAAATATTGAGCAAAACTTTTGTACAAATCAAACTTTTGGACCATTTTGTATATTGATCTATTTTGGCACGAAGTTGATTTTGTACTGAAGAAATCCGTAGAGATGTGTCACTTGCTCACTTTGGTGATGCGAATTGGTCGAAAATATATACAAATTCTTAGTAAAATGTGCTTCAATAGATGAAAAAAAGTCGTACAAGCATTAATTAATAGCTTGGTCAGACTTGGTATTCTTAAATTGGATAAGTGATACATCTCTGAGAATTTCTTCAATGCAAAATCAACTTTGTGTCAAAATAGATCACTATTCAAAATGGTCCAAAAGTTTGACTTGTACAAAAGTTTTGCTCGATGTTTCTTGATAATATGCATGGGAATCAATCAGTGACAAGTATAGAGTTGTTAGTGAAAAGATAAGTATATCAAAAATCGAAACATAATTAACATCACTATTGTTCAAACGCAATAAAAGAGATCTAGAAACAAACGTAGGAGAATGGGCAGATAAAGAACCATTTTTCGATAGTTTGATTATGTAACATTATGGGCTCATAGTGTGTGTATATTGTGTAAAAAATCCAGAAAGAAAGCATGAATAAAACAAGAGAAACAAAAGTTTCAACCTATAAAGAGAAACAAAAGTTTCAACCTTGTGAAAAAACTTTTTGATCAGCCGTTACTGCAAAACGTTTCTCATAAGATACAATATTACTAAGAGGACAACACATCATATTCAAAAAGAAGTCGAAGAAGTTTGATATTTATTTGTGCTTCTTTTGGACTATCGTACATTCAAGCACGTGTCTTGAAAAGTGTTTTAAAGAAACAGGTGTTTTGGAGAGATTGAGTAGAAGATAAAACCAGACAGAAAGGATGAGCCGCGAGAATACAATTTAAATAAACCCAAGTATGACTAAGCTCTTAGATAAGATATCTTTTAAGACAAAGAATTTGAGAAAAGTAATTTCATACGATAGCACATATTTTAATTGGTAGAAGGATTAATATAGAGATGAGTGTTGGAAAAGAATCATACATATCCGCTATTCAAGAATCCACCTAGGTGAACTGCTACATTTGTTTTCTCTCCTTTAACTTACATCTTTGAAAGGCCGAATTAGAGTCATTAGATACATAGGACGAAAAAAGGTCACTCGATAACTGTCAAGGATGGCCACTAGTTTTCACCATCTAAGTTTCTTCGGAAACTCTTATAGTCTAAGTCAAACTCAATAAGATTATAGATGACCTGAACTTATAGATCGGCAGGAATATAAATCATGGCGTTCTACTCTAAACGTGGTTTTACCTCTTTATGAATTATAAGTAAATTAAACTTAACAATTTACTTAAAGTGATGAATATAAATGTAAAACATTTTTATTTTTACTATAACTTAGCCGTATTTATAGCTAGAGACCTGATTTTTTTCATAGTTAGAAAGACCTTGTTGAGGACTATGTAACCTGAAAAGATTGTCAAAATCAGGTGTGTTTTGGATGAGTTATAACAAAAATAAAAATGTCTTAAATTTATGTCCACGACTTTATTTCTACTATGCTCTCGCTTCTGTTTTGAAAAGCTTTTTCTTTTGCTGCCGATGTAGTGACATACAGATTTGCACGAATTTTATTTATGTATATTCTAGTTCGAGTCACACATCTATTTGGTAAAATCCGTCGCAATCTGATCGAAATTTTTCACCCGCAATTTGCTTTTGGTCATGAAGTGCTACTCGTTCAGTCGTATCCGAGAATTGGCACTCAAGGGCCAGAGTCATGATTAGGGTAATGAAGAAACACCTACCCTCACCTCCCTCAGATCCTGCAATTTCGTTGAGAAAAGAAAAGGAATGATATGACTATACTAATGTATAAATATGAAGAACTACAAAAACAGTAAGGTATTTGATTAGGCTTCATGAGTACTTCGAGATTTTCCAAGAGTCAATGAAAATTCTTTTTGCTTGCTCGAGAATCTGCAATCAACCGAAATAGATACTCTTCAAGATAAACTTCCACATCCAAATATACCTACCACGTATTAAAATATCTGTTAAATAGTTTCTAAAGGTCAAACAACATTTGAGATCTACGTGGATCTGAAACCTCTGGAAATTCCAACGAAAAAGAAACCTACTAGTCATTCAGAGATATGCCACCATTATTTCCCTCAGATTCAATTAAAAGAGCCAACGAGAAATCCAGTCAAAAGTCTAGCAGTACTGACGGAAACGATAGTCTTGCTACATTTGAGAGCCCTTTTCAACACAATGAATTTTGATACGAGTAAGATCAGAAACAACACAATGTCTATGATCCAAAGTACTGAGATTCTTACGAATTTCAAAGAAGGATAAAATGAACGATACATTAAACTATGGTGATGTTGAATAATAGATAAGTCCAAAAGAAATACTACAAAATTCGATTGCAAATTATGAAAACCTCAAGATTGCGAAACATGGATGAAAATGTGTATCTGGAATTTCCTCGAAGGTGTTATAGGTTTTATAGGTATTGACAATGATACTCGTCAAAATGGTTCTACAAACCCATATACACAGATATTGGCGTAGTCGACGTTAGTAGCGGGTTCGAGTATTGTCATCTATGATTTGTTCTGTGAATACGTTCCTAGCGTTCCAACCATCGTAACAGGTAGGAATCGATTGGTATCAAATTAAAATCTAGACCGATTTGAAGCCTAACGATCTCGATCTCGAAAAAGTTGAGAATCCTGGATAATGGTATATATTTTAGCGGGATGAATTCTGCAGCGTCGGGTAACTCTAACAAGCGATCCTTGTGTAAGGACCTTAGTAGTATGATTCATTAATGATCGAAAGACGCGAAACCTCATTTACGGGAAGTGAGAAAACTTTTGAACTGGGTTAGAGTAATCGTAGAAAGTACGGGATTGATCACAGAGGCTTTCAAAATCATCTCCTGATAATTGTTGATCTCGCGTAAGTGGCATCTTTTTCATCATAGTAATGCTCAGGATTGATAGACGGTTCGTTGTCAAACTTCGATAGCAGTTGGTAAAGTAAGCGAAGCACGAAGAACACGGTGACTACTGTCAAAGTACCAAAGGCAACAGAAAGAGAGACAACCAATGGTCTTGTTGCATCTGACACCCTATGTTAAAATAACTCAGCCCTAGTTCTCTCTGCGTTTTTCTTATTTGTCTCATTGATTTCCTGTTGTTCTCCAATCGTCAGTAGTAGACTTATATCTGATGCAAGATGGGTATCTCTTCGTAATGATCATGCTCATAGGTCGAATCGATTCGACTCTTGATATGATGCCTTCGTTTACTGTGTTCATTATAGACAGTGTCAGTATCGGACAGCACTGATCTCCAGTAAAATTGATTTCGTTCTCTCAATAGAAGCTATCATGGCAAGCCAAAACGAACTATGGTCAATTGCTGGTATCTAAGAAAGCTTATGATGATAGTACAAGTTATACATATATGGTCTGGTTGACAATACTAGAATGTTACACTATACTTTCTTAAAGTGTGGAGAGCTGTGTATAGAGTCCTGTACGTGACAATGAAATAACGATCAGTTGCAACTAGCTGTTCTAGACACATATTACTTATCAGCTGTCGTACGACGAGTGGATAGCAGCAAACAGTGTAGTCTCCGAACGAAGAATGGTAAAGCAGTCATGTTGAGCACCTAAATTCTATCGAACAGATTTGGCTTTCAGAGTTGCAAAGTATGATGTGAAAATAATACTACCCAAATGCGCTGAGTAATAGCCTATTATATCATTCGTATGCGTTCCATTTTTTGATAGAGAAAAACAACATTCATGCTACAAATCTAGCTTTCGATTCTTTGCTATGTTGTTCTGACCATTTTAGACGCTCATAGCATATCTCAGAAAGTTTCCATTTCGAAACTTTTACAGCGCCTACATCTCTTTGTGAATACTATGCCAAAAACTCAAATGAAACTTTAATGAAGGAAGCAAATGAATTTCAATATAGAACACATACAAGAGAAATCAAGAATCTTCACAATAATACTATAACGAGAGAGTAAGCTCCATATAGCGCTCTTTCAGTATCACTGAACGACGATTGTATAAAGATGGTTTGCTATGCAACAAAGAAGTGATCATCAAACCATCATATTCTATCAATGAGCATCCACTATTCCTTTTGTTGATATTGTCCATTCCACTATGAACAATGGCACTAGTGCACGAAAATTTGAGCTTTCAAGAGATTCGACATGCTATTTCAGTTGGTGCGTTGAAGTGAATAGTTATGAATGACATATCAAGTTTTACACCAATGGAAAGTACAATTATGATAGTTTTGGATAAGGATAAGAAAAGCAGAGAAGAAAACGTCTCTATCGTGCGCCTACTACACATGTATATGGTATTAAACTATTTGAATGCTCTTTTAGCTGCATTCATTTTGCAGTCTGGTTGAGGATTGATAAAATATATTTGTCCTTTAAACTACTTAGTTATACTATTCTACACACCTTGCCACGTTTATATCAGTACAATTAACCAAACTTAGTTGTTTTGAAGACCCTAGCTCCTATTTTCTTTTATTCATTTCAAATGGCGAAAAAATTGAAGCATTGTTTATCGTGTAGCTACAACCTACGCCTATCAATCAATCATGAAACAAACCATTGAACCCTAACAATTATCGACTATTCCGACCGTCTATGTCTATACAATGACCTCCAAGGTGTAATAGAAACTTCTTCGCTCCCCGTACTTTGCTGAAATCTCTCTATGTGTTTATAAAACTAGTTTATTTCGTATTTTTTATTCCTGTCGCATACTATGAAACCTGACGGTTTTTCATTTCCTATGAATCAAGTAAAAATTATTCGATGAAAAAAAGCTAACCAAAAATAACACTAAATGACCTAGGAAGCATATCACAAACAAAAAGCCTTTTGAAAGCCATATAAAAAACAAAGAAACTAGATGCACGAAGCGCCATTGCACTAATGGGACGAAGTACTGCGAAAAAGAGTATCGAGGAAATGCTCTTTTATGACTGGATACACACCGTCACTTCAACTTACAACGCATTTGGGTGCAAATCGGAGACGGAAATACTCGAATGCACCGCTAAATTCAGCTACGTTCTGATACGACTAGTTCTATGATTGGTCACGTTTAGATAGCTGGTATAGGTATCGGTCGGTAAAGAAATTCAAGAAAAACAGAAATAACTTGATGACTTCAGGGAGAAAAAACCGAGACATAGAATGATGTTTTGAACAACGCTCTATAATAAAGATAGAAAAACATGCCAACTTACCACCATTCTGTTCTTTCTGTGTCAATGTTTCTATCGGTTTGCTAAGATCACTAATTGCACTAAGTCCGATTGCAGTTATAGATTGCACTCTGAACACAAATGTCGTTTCTGATGACAGATTCGAAATAATAATCTCCTTTTGATTAGAACTTGTGTAAACTTCAGTCCAGGTTTCTTTTGTCCTATTTTCATTTTTACCGACTAATGTTTCATCACTATATTCCCAATACATAACTTTGTATTTCTCTATTTTTTCGGTTCCATTAGCTGCATCTGCCCATCCTAATTTAACACTATTGTTTGTAACATTTTTCGCATACGGTGCATCCGGTTTACTTGGTATTATAAAGCCTTCTTGTTCTAATCCATCACTGTAGAGAATAAGTTCAGCGCTTTTAACACCATCAACTGAATATTCTCCATCAACAATAAATTTTATTGTTCCATTTTCAACATTGTTCGCTTTAGCAAACTCTACAAATTGTTGTAAATTTTTGCGAATCTTTGCTATAACACGATGATCTTTAAACCATACTTTGCGTTTTTGAGGATTCGTTGACAATGTAAAATTGCTGTTATCATATAGATAATTGTGCATGTCACTAAGTTGCGGATCATTTTCTTCCATGAAACGCAATGAAAGACAGAAAATGTAATCATATTTCATGTCAAAATTGACTCCATCTAGTGACGATGATTTAATCATAATATTTGAGATATTATGTTTATTGATATTTTCGACCAATGCTGTAAGTAACCCAATTACTTGTCGCTCTTCTTCGAGCCATGATTTTAATTTCCGCTGATTGAATGGCGATGAATCAACTTGTTTAAACACATCAAATAAAACAGATTCTCCAACATTAGTGTTCCCACGTAGTTTTGGTAGATACAATGCGATCTTTTCTTTCAAATCACGTTGGAATCCCGACAATAGCATGGTAAAATCCAATAAATGGTTTTTCATATGATCAAAACGTGTAAATATCTCACTATTTGATAAATCTAATGCTGCTATTTCCAAGGAATGTAAATTTTCCATCACTAACATTGAGTAATCAACCAGTTTCGATGAAATATCTCGAACGATTCGATTTGCTTTATTATCTAATAAACTTAAAGGATAGAGCCACACTCTTTTTGGTACGGCGTTTCCACTTTTGTTACTTAATATCGGTAATTCGCGATAAAGGTTCACAGCTTCAGCAAAGGTACTTGGATTTGCATTCAAACGAAAATCACCATAGAATTTACAATTCAAATTATTAGCGACACTTTTCTCTTGCTCGGTCAAACTTAAGTTAGCTTCCGCATTGATTGTAAACAATGGTATTTTGTCAATCATCACTTTTAATTTACCACTTATGTCTTTTTTATTTTCATTATGTGATACTGTACGATCAAATACAATAAATGCATCGGCACCATGAAGGACACCAGTAACGACATGTGTTGCAAGATCTATATCATGTAAATCTGGGTGATCCAATTTACCTATCCCAAGATGTTTCATTGTTAATTCTTCAAATTCTGTTGTAACTGAATATTTTAGTGTCAGACGGGTTACATGGTTTGTTTTTTGATAATCCTCAGCATATTTTGCAGAACCTTCAACGTTGATTAGACCACCAACCAGACTTAACTTTAAACTAGCTTCGACTCCTAAAGCGTGTGCCTTTTTCTGAAATGAATCTTCAGTGATTATTTCGAAGTCAGTCTTCGATTGTTTAGATTTCCTTGTATTTTTATTCAAGTTTTCTGGATCCCACAGAGTAACGCCAGGAATTAACATATCACTACGCATATCATAGAGCATACCCAAACGAAATGGACGTCCCAATGTAACCATTGTAGTTAGTTCTTGTTTGGCCATTATTTTCAATGACCAATAATAAACAATTAAAAATATGAGACGTAAAATAAGCATTGAATTTTGCCTTATCGTGTTCTTATGCAACTAAAATAAAAACAAAAAAACTCAAATATACGATATACGACACTATGCATAAGTTTGTGCCGCGAGATGATACAGAATTTCAGAATTGTTGTTTCTTGAAGAGACTATTGTCATTGTTCTATGACTGTGCCGACAATTTCATGATTTCGAGTCACGTAATCCGATTCAGGAATTATAACATTGCCTTTTCGTTGGTTGATGCCTGATCTAATGCTCAGATTTGCTAGAGTGTGGGTATCAGATTTCAGTGTTGAGAGTGAGTGTAGGATGAGGGTGAGTTTGATGATTATTTCTTCATTTTTATCCTCGCCCCACTCTTACACCCTTAAGATGGAAGATCAGTCTGTTTTTCGATTAACTAATCCTCATCCTTCCTTTCTTTACCCTAGGAAAATTGTTTGATTATTAACGGAGAAAAACGCCGATCTTGGGAAAGACTTCTAACTTTTCGGGGGCTTTATAGCATTCATTCTGTTTAAAACCTAATCTGACTCTCGCTGAAATAATTTTTTGAACCAAAAATGGAATAAAAAAAAGCCTTATATCTATGAATGTATTCCTTAATAAGGCATTTCAATATATACTTTATCAATTTGCTATCCGAACAATTATCAAGATTTACGTCAAAAGCTGAGAAAAGCATCTCGAAAAAGTGAATACGAGAGGAAAATGTGATATTGATCGAGTACTTATATTTATCGAATAATTTGGCTTTAGTACTTGACAATGTAAAACATAGAAATATATTTTTGCTTATACTTACACAATAAAACAATCTTTTGAATACTCATAAGATATGTGAGACAGACAGGACTATACTAGAACTCCAATCGTTTAGCGAGTTCACGTACTAGAATCACACTCGAAACGAAAATTATTAGATCAAACCTTAACCCAACTTCCACATGACTTGGATTTAGTAGATTTCTAATTATGTAGTATTGAAGATACTAATAAATATTGATATTGAAGTACTGAAGTTAGCTAACTAGAGCTCTTTGTACTTTTTTTCTATTTATTCTATTATGATGAATATTGATTATGAGAGACACAAGAAGGAAATAATAGTCAAGCTTACCTCTGTTAACGGCGTTACAAGAACTTTGATATGAATATATACGATTGTGTATCTATGTCTATGGCGTGTAATTGATATTTATACGTGCCAGAGCTTTCTGTGGGATAGGATGGGGCAAGATAGGACGTAAATATTTTGATAAATGTTCTATGAAGTGGGATATTTCCCATCCCATATCATGAGAGGTTTCTCAAAATATTTACGTCCCATCTTGTTCTATGAGATGGAAACTGCCCATCTCATGGGATATTTATCAAAATATTTACGCCTTATCCTATCTCATCCATTCTTAGAAACAAGCAATCACATATATAAAAGGTTTTTATAAGAAAGATATAGCTATTTTTTGCATAGATGACGTTCTTATGTATTGTGTTGAAAGAAGAGAATACCAATATTGTTAGCTTTTCTGTATGTTATCCAAAAAACTCCTGCACATGTTTTATTCGTAAGCGAGAGGATAGCTACCGACAAGCCTCTAGTCTGTATATAGTTATTAAAACTGCCTACATATATCTGGAATCAATGTAATTTATAGTATGAGAAATGATGATAGAGACACAGGTAGTTCAGAGTTTATTCATAATAATATGGGCAAAGACAAAATGAGGAAGGAGACAAGATCATCAGAGAAATAGTAATAGTAAAAACTACTATTACTGAAAGTGGGGAAAAAATAAAGTTTATAATAAGAGAGAGAAAGAGAGACGTTATTCAGAAGGATGAACGATAACAACTGTTCTATAAAAATAGCTGATGAAATATATATAGGAAAGAGAGAAACAAAAAAAAGAAAAACATGAACGACAAGATGAGGAACTATATATGAAAGGAAGAAAAAGGCGAATGACCAGGGATCAATGACTAAACTCGTTAGCGGCAACATCGTATCATCCGGTGACGCTAGCAAATACGCACAAGGAGAAGAGTAAAAGAAAAATACATATTGAAAATAATATAACCTTATTTTCTCGTCATATATGATAACACAAAGCCGTCATCGTTTTATGTTTACTTCGAAGGACATTGTAATTTCATTTGATTTTTTCTTTATTCTTTCTCAATAGTTGACATATACACTCCTGGACAAAAGTCTTTTCCCTCTTTCTTCTTGTTCAATATGTCATTGAAAAAAAGAAAAAATTGAACACCCCCCGCCATATTTTGACTAAATGAGTTGATAGCTTCACCACTGATAGACGAGTGTTCATATTTCATATTTATAAGAGAAACCTTATCAAAAATTATATTGAAGTATCATGCTTGGCTTCTACAAAGTTTCGTAATCACTTACGATCTTGCTTTTCATGACCCGTGTGGGATTACTGGACTTTGATGAGGTTAGATATAACACTTTATAATATTTTTTTCTTAAGATTTCTCTTATGAATATGAGCTATGAACACCTCTATCAGTGGTAAAAATATCAAGCTATTTGATCAAAACATGACTAGGGATGTGCAGTTTCAGTATACTGACCACCGATAAAATCACACTGGCGTTCACCGGTACCATGATGACACTGACACTGTGCGCACTGTCTGCAGTGACACACTGAAACTAAGCGCACTGTCTACAGTGATACACTGACACTAAGCTCACTGTCTGCAGTGACATACTGACACTGAGCGCACTGACTGCAGTGTCTGCACCGACATTTGTGTTCACGGGACCAGTGTATACGCTGACACTGACTGCACTTGTTGCGCTGACGCATACTGGAAAAGAGTGTGGGTGTGGATGTGGGGTGTGGGTGTGTGGGTGTGGGTGTGGGTGTGGGTGGGTGGGGTGTGAGGGTTGGGAAATCTTTCTGTTTCATCGGCTTCAGCACCCACATCCATTCCCACACCCACACTCACACCACCCACACCCACATCCACACCCACACCCACATCCACATCCACACCCATACCAACATCCACACCCACCCACCCACACACCCACACCTACATCCACACCCACACCCATACCAACACCCACACCCACATCCATACCCACCCACACACACCCACACCCCACACCCACACTCACCCACGCTCACATCCACACCTACACCCCACACCACCCACACCCACACCCCGATGTTCTTATCTTAGACTAGGGGCAACCAAAACATCTGAAACCTTCACAGTAAACTATTCTCACTAACGCCTATCTATATGAAAAGTTTCGGGCGGAAACTCAAAACTCACTTTTCCTGATGTTCCTGAGGGGGACCACGGCTTTTTCCAAAACACATAGTAAAAATGTTGTATCTCAGCAGCAAGAGGCTAGCGGCACGAACTCTTTCCAGAGAACTCATAGCTCATTAGGGCCTAGTGTATACACTTGTTCAGTGAACACCATATCAGTGCAGATAGTGAAACCAGTGCAGTCAGTGCCAGTGTATGCACTGGTTCAGTGAATAATAATGTCGGTATAGACACTGCAGTCAGTGCATTCAGTGTCAGTGTGTCACTGCAGACAGTGCGCTCAGTGTCGGTGTGTTACTGTCAATAATTCACTGTTTTTACCGAAACTGCACATCCCTAAACATGACAGGAATATTCCATTTTTTTCTTTTTTTTTAATGGCACACAGTAACGGGACACGGACTTTTTTTCAACTTTTTTTTTCTTTATAGTTTTATAATTCTGTCTCATATTTGGATCACATATACTAGATGGCAGTACTCAGAGACAAAGTCTATTATCAGCCTTTGGTTATAAGATTTTGTCAGAAAACATACGAATATTTTTCGTATACTCTCATATAACTGTCGCTTAAGTTCTCTGTTGTCTAATTGAAGTCAATGTCTTTTTGTGTACTCAAAAAGTGAGTACACTATAGAATCGGTCAGTGTGTCCGGCCGTCCTTCCGTCCGTTTACACGATAACTCTTCAAAGAGTACTCCAATTGTGATGAAATTTTGCACACAGAATTGTCTCATCAATATCTCGGTCGAGTTCGAAGATGAGAATGATTCGTCAAGATATTGCTGAGTTATTGCAAAAATGTCATTATTTCCTATGCTGTTCTATGCGAACATTGGCCTATCCCGGTTTTCATAAAATAAATTTTTCTCTCATAATCAAACAAAACATCAGCTATTATATACCATTCGATAGAGAATTTCACGGGTTGCACAATGGTATATAAAACATCAAGAAACAAGAAGGCTAAGTCACCTATTGCAAAGATACTTAAACGAAAATTGCTTCTGTGTTTTTACTTTTTGAAGTACACATAACACTCGGATTTAAATCCGAGGTTTTCACATTTATTTATTGATAAAAACATCCATCACAATAGAAAATTCATTTGATAAGATCAAATCGTTGTACTCGGTGATTACCCTCATCGGCGACATAGAGATTACCCTGCCGATCGAATGACAAACCTTGTGGACGAGACAACTGATTCGCCTGTTTTCCGTTACCATTTCCACCCACAATAATACTTCCATTTTTGGCTCCTTCCGGCCAACACATGACTCGATTATTTCCCCAGTCAGCCACATAAACGGTGCCCAACTGATCAACCACTACCCCTTGAGGGTAAGACAATTGCCCCAGATCATTTCCATTACCTTCACCACCAGCCACAACGATTCCTTCTCTTGCACCTTTCATCCATTTCATTACACGATGATTTTTCCAATCCGAAACATATACGGAATGGTTTCGATCGACGAAGATGAAGCCAGGTGAATTGAGCTGATTAACATGATTACCTTCTCCATTTCCGCCTGACACGATTGTTCCATTTCTCTCTTCTATTTGCCATCGTCTAACAACCATCTTTTCCCAGTCAGATACATATAGAAATTCTTCATCGTCCATCATCAAGCCCCAACAGTCGATGTTCGAGATAATCGTTTGTCCACTTGAGTTACCTTGACGAGGCCATCGTA